TCGGTTTTTCCTGAAGCTGGTCTGGCAAAATGGAGAAGACTAAAAAGGAAACGAACGCTAGAGTGGCTGAGCGAAGGAAACAAACAAAAGAAAGTGCGGAGAGCAACTGCGTGTGGGTAACTGTGCATGGATAATATTTCAAATGGTCTCAATGAGTCCGACAATTCGTCGATATCAGACTCATCAAAAGAGTATCTGTCAGCATCCCTGTTATTGCTGTCAAGTTCCGATTTTTTTACAGAACCTTTCTTTTCTCTTACCACAAATAAGGATGTGGTAGTTTGGATTACATGGTCTGATGAAGACTATACCTTACCTTCCTCTTTGAAAGGTCCCCTAGTAGGGTTGAAACTTTAAAAGTCTGATGAATTATTTTTAATTGTGTAGTTTATAACACATAAGAGATCAAGGAATTCCATAAAGGTTAAAAAACATTTGTAGTTTCTCACTAGGTGCAAAACAGAGAAGCAAAAAAGAGCTATGTGCTGGGACCCAAGAGGAGAAAGAGACCTTGGATCCCCTAGTAGGTCAGTCACAATTTGTTTATGTTTGGTATCATGTACTAGGAAATAATTTTATTGTACACAGTGCGTGCAGTTAAATTTAACCTGAATATCAGGCCTTTCTTAGCAAGAGGGTAGGGATGGGGGGGAATTGCTGGGTGCATCCTCCTGCTACCCCATGAGTAAGAAAAGCCTGATACTCAGGCTAAGTTGAATTGAATGGAACAGAGATGGTGTTGTCTCACTACTGTTCAACTATTTCAACAAACCATTGTTATGTAGCCATATACCTTCGCCCTTTATACAGGGGTAGGGTGTACAAAAATTGCTTAAGTCTGCAATGCCTGGGGTACTGTTTTTGAGGAGTATTGTTTTGTGGGAGTAGGGACACAGTGGTATAATGGTTAGTGGTACTGAACTGCACATCAAGCAGGCTGGGTTTCAGCAAATGGATAGGGTCTCTGCGTTGTGTTCTTGGGCAAGACACTTTACTCTTGCATTACATGTACCTCCCTCCACCTAGATATACACCTGAGTATTTGGTGAATTTAATACTGGGTGCTAACCCTGTAACAGTTTCGCATCCCATCCGGGACGGCAGAGCCGGGTTTGGAGGGGGGGTGAGGGTCTAATTCCACAATTTCAAGCAAAAAAATACATAAAATACATGTGATAGTTTTACAAATATCTGAGACCCCCTACAAGTTAACGTCTCTGGCGCTTGCTTGTGAGCCCCATCCCCCACCACACCCCCCAATTCAAAATACGCTTCGCCATCCCGGCCCATCCAGGTGGTATGGAAATACGCCTTGTCACTTAATGCAACAGAGACCTGGATAAGCTCTGACGGTTTGGATTATTTGGCCTGATACAGACTTACATGTAATCTTATACAGTACTGTACCTTCTATCTTCAAACTTGCCCCTGTAGGGTTGAAACAAAATGGTTTACGTGTAGTTTTAGTTGTGTGGTTTTTGAAACTAAGGGATGAAAGAAGTCATTAAGGTTAAAACATTTCCTGCTTCCTACTAGATACAAAACAGAGAAGAAACAATAAAAGCTGAGCTGAGACTCCAGAGGAAAGGATGGATCTCTTATTAGGTAAGTCAATATTTTCTTTTAAAAGGAAGGGTTTTGAATCACTTGATGGTGCATGTACTGTGAATAATTGTACACAATGCAGGAAAAGAATTTAAACGAATAGAGATGTTATTGTTTCACTGTTCAGATATTTTAAAAACTCTTGTTATATGGCTGACCGGATACCCTTGCCCTTCAGTGTTAGGTTATTCAAACATTCCTTAAAAATACAATGCCCGAGGTATTGTTGTTGAATATTTAAATTGTGAGACCAAGGGCCTAATTGGATCAACAACCAATTTTCCGGTTCATGTATCGATTCCTTAGCCAGTAAGCCTCACTAGTGATCAGCTTAAAATTTCTCCTAACAGTCTCAAACATAATCATGAAAAAAACGTAAAGAGGATTTAGAGTAATCTCAAAATGGAATTTTCCAGATAACTCAAAACCAGTGAGGAAAATTTGTTTCTTGACTAAGGTCTGAATATAAAGGACTAAGCAATGAGGAGAAAGGTTATGACGTGGGGGATATTGTCTTGATGTATCACCAAATTCTCAGAACAAACATTGAAAGAAATTTACAGCAGAGAACACTAGACAGCCTGGAAAAAGAAAAAGATCATGTACGTTATCATTTCAAGAGGGCGAGAGTAAAAAAAATGTACCTCATTTTAGTTTGCTATAGAAAGTAAATGAAAATACTGCATACATTTAGATTCAATTTGAGAGGACAAACATAGGGATTTTATAAGACCGCCTGGTAGAGCATAATAACAGTGCAACATGAGATTACTTCATTTGTCCTGAAAGTTCATGTGAAATACCTTTCTTGGTTACAAACTTCAGTCGTATCATATGCTAAAACTATAATACGAGGAGAGAAATGCTTCATAGCTGCGGAGTTATTTATTGATTTTTTTGCCATGACATTTTCGGATTTCCACCATTGTGTGAATTTCCCTCTGAGATTTCAGATACCACTGGGAAATGTTCTTGAAATACAGTAGCTGTCAAGGTGAAAGTCGTTTTCAGTCGTAGTTTCATATAAAAGTCGTCTTGTCAAAACTAGCTGTAGCTGTTGAGTTGTCAGGTTAGAGGTGAACGAGAGAAAGTCATAATCACCTGCAAATTTCGTTAAATTGTCCTGCACGTACTTCTTAGGAAACGGTTTTTAGTTTAGTTTTTTAGTTGCATTTGAACAAAAGGTTAAATTTTAAAGCAACCTTGTCTTGTTATTCGCTTTTTTAAATAGATCAACTTTTGTTTGTTTATTAAAACGCCGAACAAATGTGAAGCTACCCGAGTGCTTTCTATTTTCAAAAATATCACGAGTTGTTTAACTTCAAGATTGGCGACTACATGTATTAACCACGCATAAATTTATCCTCCGGAAGAAAATGCAAATATTACCTGTTGTGTCCTGAACATTTTTGTCATGAAATTTTTAGTGCCAGCGAGCTTTTCGCCTGCAAACGTTGCAAATGAAGTTGAACTTTAGAGTGCTATATTGTAGTCGGTGCTATACCAGGGCTCGGAAAAGACTTGAATTCCAATTTGCCCTTGGGACAAGTATCTCTCAAATTTTGCTTGCCCATGGCAAGTCTTAGTTTGCCCTTTTAATGATTTAGTTGGCAGATGACTTGCTTGGTCTCTTGCCCATTGGGCAAGTGAGAATGTAAAGTTACTTGCCCAGAAGGAAAATCTACTTGTCCTGGGAAATGGGACGGCACTTTTTTCGAACCCTGGCTATACATGAATTTATTTCGTGTTGCTGCTTGTCGGCGTTCTAAGTTGTTCTTAATATCATTACAATGTATGTAAGCTCCGTGTTTATCCATGATGATGATATAACACTGTATGTATATTTTGTTCTTTGGGTTTCAGTATACCCCTTTTTAATCGGACGTTTTATTTATCTTTCTTTCAGGCTGCCATCTCAAATGGACATGATTTGACATCAACATGGAGAAAGAAGCAATGGAAAGCAACGAATCGAAGAGTCAAAGAGCCTCGTTTAAATATTTCTTCAGTGGATCACGTTTTAAAAGTAAGGTAGATTTACGAGACAAAGTTTATCTCGATCGAGTTACTTGCGAAAGATTGTTAGGGCGGAGCTGGAATTAGTGATTTCACAACGGAACCCAAGAGTCGAAAGAAGACATTGGAATTACTGTGAAATTGTCTCGTATCTTGCCAGTTTCCGAGGAAGCCGTGAATTATATTTCAAGTTTGTAGCGTTAAACCGAAGGTAGAATAATAACATTACCTGGTTTTGTTTTTCAACCAGAATTTTCATCCTGGAAGTCTCGTTATTAAACTCGTTGAAATCACCGTCTGATTGTCTAGTATTTATTTCACAAACTGACGGAAATCCTTCTAGTTTTCGAGGACGCATTGAATTGATGAAAAGGTTGCGCTTTTAAAAGGGCCAATTAAAAAAAATCGAAAATTAGAAACATTTTCCTTAGAAAAAAAAGTCTGCAATTTTTAATGGTGTTTGGTTTTGAGTCGAACATATGCTAAGTCTTTTGGCGGAAAAAATCTTGCACTGTGTAGGATTTTTCCCTTCAAAAGTCATATTGTATGCTTGATTTCTGGCTGGACTCTGTTCAAAAGCGCAGAATTTTTTTTCTTTTTGGCAACCCTACATAGTCAAAAAATAGCAAAAGAGATAGCCTACATTTCGACTAGTTACCAGGCCCCTTTAAAAGCGCAATTTTTTTACCTTGTTTACTTATTCAAATTGGTTGTAATTAATTTTAATTGAATTATTAAACAACCAATAAAAGCTCTATTGAAGACACTTGTCTATTTGCCGTAGTATTTTTGTCTAATGTTTTTTTAATGCTAAAGTAACGTACACAGTAAAAACCACCACATGCTGTTTTTTCATTTCATTTCATTTTATTGTTTTGTATTAAAGTAACTAATTAATTACTTACTTAATTAATTAATTAAATGCAAATCAGTTAAATTAGATTAAAACGTGCAAAGGAAAAAGTTCGCGTTTAAAAACTAAGACTTTTGGCGGGAAAATTTAAAAAAATTTGCACAGCGTTTCCCCTTACAACGTTTTTGAGGAAAATTTAAAGAGGTTACGCTTCAGAAGTTTTTGATCGCGAAAAAAGTTCTAAGGCAACAGTTGACAGATAATCCCGTCAAAAACTAATGCACCATCTCGCATTGAAAAAGCTTTTTTTTTTTCAGTTTTGAAATAAATTTTTGCCAAACAGTCTTCAAATTTAATTTTTCAACGAACTTCGCGATGATTTTTGTGCGAGGTGATGCAAGAGTTCTTCGAGACATGAAAATATGAAATGGCTCAAATAAAGCAACAAAGTAAAATTCAATTCCGAAATGGATTTTTAAATCTCGCAAAGACCGTGAAATACCGTTTCAGCTAACCGAGCCTAATTTGTTGTCCGATCGAGTGTGATTTGCAACCGTTTGTAGCCTGCCATTTCATATTTTTCTCTGTCAGAATATAATATAGGTGGTACACTTCGGATCAGTTGCACAGGAGCAAGAACTGTTATCAATCAAAATCCAATCATTGTTCCGCCAGGAAATTGCCCAATTTCGAAGGTTTATAACCAATTTAAAGTTTTCGCGGTAAGTTCATTTTCTCTTCCGATGCGACCGTTCGCTCCATTCTCTTTTCCCGTGCAACAACCAAAATGTAAACACCACAAAATAATTAATATCTGGTAGCACAAAGATGTTTATTCCTGAAACGACGCAACATTTCTTCGGCAAGTTCAGTATATTTTATGAATAATCCACCGTTAAAATTTAAATCTCTTGAAAAGTTTTCGAAAATATTTTACTCTTTTGAACAAAGCGTAACAAGGAAAAATGCTTATGTTCTTCAATCTTTTGGACGTCCAAAAATTTAAACTTTAGAAATAGCGAAGGAAAACAAACATGTTTTGCAAAGGCGCCACGAGAACTTTGTATCTCAAAGCACGTTTTTAATATCAATTCATATGCAAATATTTTCATCCTTGTTTACAAATGTTTTGCGGGTCTTTCTAGATTTGGCTATGATTGCTACAAAATTGTTGGCAGCCTTTTAAATCTTGAAAAAAACAATCTGTGTAATAGCTAATCTTAACTGTTTATTGTGTACTAGTTGCTTTTTGGAGGTCATTGCTAGACAATTATTGAAAACAAAAATTGCAGAATCGAATTTAATTTGCAAATGTCGAAGCATTTTCAGTTGTCCGCGACCTCGTTCATACTTCAAAGCTGTAAATATCAATTCTCCTTAACGACTGCCTTACTTGGTCTTAACTGCAGTTCTGAGAATTTGGTGGCACATCAAGACAATATCTCTTAGTCGATGATTTTGTTAACATTTTCGCTATACTTCCCGGCTTTTTCCTTTTTACAACACCTTTTATTAACCAGATATTGATTTAGAAGGCTAAACTTTCAACATCTAGAGGATAAAAAAACGTTGATCTGTCGTCAAGGTGGCATTTTCAAAAATTGCTAGTTATGTAGTGTGCTCAATAACCTAAAGATATTTTCAATTTCAGTATTTAAAGTACCTGTGTTACAACAGTATGTAAGAAAAACTTCGATTTACAGTGCAAGATAGCTACTGTATCTCGGTAATCACATGATTCTGAATGCAGTTTGTAATCTCGGAGAAATTTCCCTTTAGCCTTCAGTATTCCTCCAAGTATTCCTAAAACTTTCGTTACCGTTGGAAAGTCTTCGGAAATCTTCGAGTGATCTCCGGAATTCTATCGTCGGCGATGTTCAGAATACCGCAGATGTCTGTCGGCAGCCATTCGTAATCTTCGTAATTCTTTGGAAATCTTTGATATCTTTAGAAATCTTCTTTAGAAAAGTTGTTACAGAATAATTTCCTATGTCTCATATTATGCTTTTCCTTTTTCACGTCAAAGGCATGCTGTCTTATTATTCTCCTTTAATACTGAATATTACTTCGAGATTTCACTCGATCGGAAGAGAGTAAAATGAAGTGCGATAATTTTATTTCTAGCAAGATGATGTATTTGTTGTAGAAAGAATTCAGTTGTTGCCAAATATAGTTTTTGTTGTCGTACAGATCTGCTTTTGCCTAATAAAACCCACCCAATGTTACATTACTTCGTCGATTCCGAGATAAAGCGACGTGTTTTGATCACAAAAGTTTAGATGGTGTTGCCAATTACAGTGCCACCGTAACAACTGAACGTTGTTTATCCACTTAAAATATTTCCTGAAATTTTGTCGAACAAAATGGTGGCTACCAGAATCCAGATCCCAGATTAATGACGGCCAAAGTTTAACTCCTGAAAAATATATATCAGTCGTTCGAAACAAATAAATTCCACGATTTTTCTCTCTAGAAAAAATCTCAACAACTAAACCTTACAACGTAAGCTTCAAATATATTGCCACCATTTTAATCGAAAGTTAACGAAATTAAAATTCTTATCTCGTTGCCATCTCCAATGTTGAATAATTATTAACTCCTCGTGAATTTCAATCGCTTCTTACGTTCGCCGGGTAATACCACTGAATTCCATCTTCACCGTTGGACCATTTCCTCTCCTTAAAAAGAAGGCAATAAAGAGAAACATAGGCTGTATTTTCTAGATACTCTATTACTACCAGGGCAAGGAGCGACTAAAGCTCGTATGAACCAGCTTCGAGTGATAACGGTTTTTAACTTTCCGGGAGCAACACGCAACGGAAAGAACAGGAAATATCAAATAAATTCAGCTCAAGTATCTTACAAACTTGCTCAAAATTATTTCTTGGCCCTTCACTGAAACGTTTCATCTCGGTGTTTGCAAAACTTCGACTATCTGGTTTAATTTGTGAACGAAGCTGTGAGCAGCTCGGCAGAGAAAATTGCGGGCGAAGGGAGGAACTTAACTTTTAGAGGTAGAAATTGTTCCGTTTGGTGAAGAGCAAAAAGATTAAAACGTACACTCACCATAAACATTTTAATACTTCTATCTCGTCCTGCTTTATCTTCTTCGAAGGAACAACATCGCCACATCCGACATCACCAGGAGCAAAAAATCCACGTCTTCACACTATGACCAAGTTTTGGTTTGACGCAAATTCCACAAGTAGTCATGAATATTGATTACAAACTAGAGCCAATCAGTGGCAAAAACGTCGGCGCATATTTTCACAACTTGAAATTTAATACTTATGCAAAACTAATGTATTGCTTCAACAATCATTTGTCAATTTTACTTCAGATCATTGCATTTTTAGGCTTTATTAAGACAGCAATACAAGAAATTAAATACATTTGTAAAAAGTGATTCACGCCGCCGTCATATTTCGTTAAATAAAACCTTTTCTGATAATTAATCTTATAGGTCGAAATTGGTTACAAGCTAATAAAGAGGGCTTAAAGCAAATAGAAGCTCAACTAGATAGGTATTTTACGGTCATTCAGGTTTGATGTCCTTTCCTAAAAAGTGTTTTCACTGCTAACTTGGTTCAAACAAAAAAACAATCAAAGAAAAAAGATCTATTCAGTCCGACACAAGCATAAAAAAAAATCGGAGTCCCCTTGCGGCGGCTGAACGCCTGTCCTTCCGAATAAAAGCTTGGAAATGTAACCACTGGGCTACAGGGGGAATCCTTGAATTGCGTAACAAATTTAAAGGTACCTATAGGCACCTGAAACTTAGCTGTTATTGTCAGCCTTATCTTGCCTAGAAAAATGTGCCATAAAAGAAATTAAAGACCTGATCGAGACTGGCGTCTCAGTAATTTGTAGCTCCCCTAACGATTGTCTTTCTTCCAAATATAGTAGTTCGTCTTTATTGTGAGCATTTTCGTTCCTCTAACAATAGTAACTCACAGCCCTAGGAAACCTTTTTGAGTACTGGTTAAGAAGTAATTTTTAGGGCTTAAAAAGAATGATGGCATGACTAGTCGGGCATTTTACGGAAGCTTACAGTGGATACCCTTTCTTAAAAAGATATTTCACATCAAACTTCAAACGGAAGAAAAGAGGATTGTACAAAAAACATATCTATTCAGGTTGAAACGAGAAAGAAAAAAAAAGGTGCGGAGTCCCCCGACTGGCGTCGAGCGTATATATGCCCTTCCGACCGCACAGCAGGTTAGATGCGTAACCCAATGGGCTACCGGGGGACTCCTTGACAAGGTAAGAGAATTTAATAGCTAAATACGTGAAACAACAATATAGCTGCTACTGACAAAATAATTTTTCTGTTACAAACGTGGATTAAGAAAAATTTCAGACCTGAAACAGATTGGCGTCTGGATAACTTATAGCCACTCTAAGGATTTTCGTTCTTCTAACAATAGTAACTCGCCGTCTTAGCA